CTCCACAGCATAAAGTTTAAAAGTCCTGCCCTACAGTGACACCAAATGGTAGCAGATCAAAATACAGTACACAAACAGGACATTTGTTCCATTCAATCTTCATATAAATGTTTGATTCCTTTGAAGAACAGGCAGCTGAACAAAAATAATATGAAGAAAAATACTCAGAAACCTAGAATTTTTAATCAAAGAAAGTCTAGTACACCAAACTTCAAATACACATTTTTAGGCCTCTTTCCAAACATCAGCTAATCTTGTGATCCCATTGAATATTTACATAAATCATTTCTCACACATTTAAACCATGTCACTGTGAAAACAGTGATTTTACGTAATAGCTTATTGATCAAAGCAACCCTGCAAATATAAGAAAAGCAATTATACATCTAAAGTCAAGTTCTACTCCACGGAAACCAACCTTTGGAAAGTAGGCCATATTTTGGTGAACAGATGAGAAATGTTGGGACTGAAAGTGGAGAATTAGGAATAAAGTAAGTTACAGGATACTGACCCAATCAATCAGTGAAGAATTTCTTGGAAATATTTTATTTTTCATTCCTTAACCAGATGACAGAAAACTAAGCTGAATAAAATAGAATGCTACTACATCCCAAATATAAACTAATTTCTTAAGAAATTATTCTGCTGAACTGTCCAGGGAAAAGAATATTTCAAATTTAAACACTTCAGTCAATATTCAGCTCCCACTAACAGAAACTAACCAACACATAAAAACAGAAGGTAAATTGTCTTCTTCCATATAAACTACTTCAAAAAGACATGAATATCAATCCCCTCCCAGAGCACTCCTCTAAAATATCATTTGTCCAGAACCCTTAGTATCTTAGCATTAAATGACAGTTTGTTTGGATTTTTTGATGTATTATTTTTTCACATGCCAACACCTCCTAGAAAACAGACAACATATAAATATACTACCAGTTACAAAAAAAAGTCAATATCATTAACATCTAAAGTCCTAAATTCATACCATTGGATTTCAAATCTATATTTCAAAACCAAGTAGAAGAGAAAATTTTAATTGTTACCACTACATAAAGTGGTTAATGTTAAAGAGGTGATGAATATGCTCACTATCCTGATTAGATCACTATATAATGTGTGGATGTATCGAAACATAACACTGTACTCAGTAAATAAGTAGAATTCATACATGTCATTTAAACACACATCTTATTTTAGAATACATGACCAGTGAAACTCCACATCATGTACAATCACAAGTATGGAATCCAAATTAGAGTAAGTTATACTCGTTGTAGGTATAATATGTCTAATACACCCTATTTATCATGTATATCTAAAAAGAACATATGTATGTACGTGTGTACATACATACATACATACATAAAATTAGAAGAAGCACTAAAAGAAAAACGTAGGGCTGGGCCTTAGTTCAGAGACAGACTATGTACTTAGCTTGTGCAAAGCTCTGGGTCTCATTACAAGCACCACCAAAAAAAAAAAAAATTACTGGACCACCAGCCATATTTCATTATCTCACTAGCACTACACGATAACACATAAAAAGATGGTCAGCTCTAGAAATGTTTGAGTGCTTTTCTCAGCAAAGAGGTCCATGTCTGGTCATAAAGGACCACAAGGAGAATTAATTCAGTGGAGTGCCTGGTAACATATGAACAATTTAACTCGCCATACCATAAAATTACCCATGTTTGCTAGACCCACATTTAGGACTGTTAATTACACAAACTGGCAAAATCACCATTAAGAAATTTTTTCTTCCAATTTCCAAGGAAGAAATATGAAAATGAAATAATATCCAGGGAAACATGAAGAAAACAGACAAATCAAACAGTTTAGTGGTTGGAACAAAGCCTTAAGGATATGCAATTTTTATGGAAATTGGTATAATATTTTAAATTAGAACAGATATTATACTTGATCTTAGCCAAAAGATAAAGAAACAATTATATATGATATTTCTGATCTGAAATTTATAAAAGGCATAAAAGGCCTATAAATCTGTAAGTAATATAGAATAAAAATAAAATAAATTTCAAATTTGTAGATTAGTCATGATACATTCTAATTGGTCTTTGGCACTAGCTCCTGATATTTTAGATATGTTATTTTTGGCATTCTGCCTTTCCATTAAAAAAGAAAACAATGCAAATGAACACCAATATCTTGGTAGAGCTGCATCAGGATTATTTTATATATATAAAATTCTTGTGAAGAATTATAATTGGTTTGAGGCAAAGAACTTCAGTGAATTTATCCATCATCTCAAGCCTCAGTGTACTTAAAGAGAATAGATTTTCTAAGGAGCTTCTAACTCAAATAATCAAATTAATGAGTTTATATAATCTTACAGGAGAAAAAGTGAGTGTCACTGGTAAACAACATAACTGTAGATTTTTAACTAGTTTTTGGCAACAATAAAATGCTAAAAATCACAGTATCAGTCTACAGAACCTGAAGATGAAACAGCTAAGAACAAGTTGCTCTATGGAAAGAAACAAATGAAAAGGCATAGGGAGATGGGGGTGGGGGGGCTAAACTAAACCAACCTGTGCTAATTTCGTGGCTGTGCTTCTGTGATTTTTTTCAGGTAAAAATGATTAGTACTTTAAAATCTAAGCTAAATCAAAAAGTAAATGTGCCTTAAAGGCAAGATGAATATCTCGGGGAAATCTATAGTTTAGCTTACCTCAATTGAACATCTTTGATACAAACATTATTTCAAAATGTTGATAGTTTAAAAGTACAACTTACTATTTTGAAAATCTTACAGAAATATATGTGGCAATTAAAATAAATTTTCAAAAATCATCATACTGTTGTATTGTTAATATGATGTAGATGAGCTGAAGACACATTACTCCATAAACAAAATTAAAATTGAGATTTAATTGAGGAGAGAGAAAATTTCAGTTATTCCATTCCGTTTAACATGCTTTAGCCAGGACTTTTTTTTTTTTTTCTACTTTTTGGTTAATTATCAATGACTGTTTTGAGCTTTAGTGTGCTTCCTTTTTTGTGTGTTTAGGAGTGTGTTTAAGAGAAGCGGTTTGAGAAGTAGGAGGAGACAGATTGGGAATCGTTAAATGAAAAAAATAATAATAATAATTACTTTTTGCTCTATTTTCATTCTCTTTCCTCCACCAAAACAATTACCATTTAAAATGTTAGTACCACACAAATCACAACTTAACACAGTATATGTAAGAATCTTCATAATCAACATTATTCATATTCTCCATAGGAAATATTTTCAGTAGGATTATTCTTTCAATACTACACTTCATTTGTACCCAAATAAACCTATTTTGAAATGTGTAAATTCCTGGTCAAGTCTAAATTGAAATGTCATGAAATGGCATGAAATGGTCCATCTCTCGTCTGAAAATTGAAACTATAACATTAGCCAGTAGATTCTCAGAATATTTTTTGTTCTAGCTTTCTGGCTCTTAAGAGTACACTGTTCATAAATAATAGCAATTTGATGATTAATACTAGATTTTCAAAAGAAAGCATAATTTGCTGATTTTAAATAAATTTTAAATATTAGTAAATTTGAGCCCATTTCTCTGTGAATCCCTAGAACAAAGGAATAGGTTGAAATCTTTTCTATGACAACCTGTGACATATAAACTTCATTGTTAAATGGGCACTTTCATAAAACCTTGCATGTGTTTCAGATTTAATATATATAAGAAATATTTCAAAATTATAATTTTATATATTATTCTAGTGGAACAATCAAAAGAGATGGGAATAAATCAACACTATTAGTCTGTGGTTAAAAATGTAACACTAATTCTCTTTTATTCGCGTATTCTGATATGGAAGACATAGCAAACAGAATATCAAATAGGCATTAAGAGAAAGAAAACATAAATGGGTAAAGCAAAACAAAGGAAAATGGGGGAAGGTAGAGAGGGGAGTAATCTGGAGAATAGGAATAAAAATTTTAAAAAATGTTTTTTTTTGTATTTTTCTTTAAAAACAAGTGAGTTTAAACATTTCATAATAAAAACGAAAGACTGTGAGAAAAAGGGAAAGCCTTACTTGTTTTCTTTGGAATCTATATGCAGATCTTTGAACTTTATGGGTAAAGGCAGTTGAACAGTGGTGGTTTGAGATAAAGGAAGGAATTTAAGAGCAAATGCCTACAACACACCAAATATGGAGTACAGATCTGCCAATAGCTAGCCAATCTGAATCTTTAAAATTATACAACTTCATCTTCCAATACAATTTCATCCTGGCCCTGGAGGTGGGTAATATAACTGAAGATAAATGAGAAAAATAATAATCTTATTAAAAAATCACTACTTTATAGTATCATTATGATGACTAGAGTAACCACCCTAAAAATAATCATTCAATGGTAGGAGAAAAGAGCAAAGAAAAGAAAGCTTGATTTTAAAAAAAAGTAATTTTAAGTCACAATCCAGCTAATATGTACCATTGGCAAGTTTTTTCACCTCTTTAGACCCCTACTTCCATAAAATAGGAGAGCAGAACAAGATGACTATCAAGGTGTCTCAAAGATTTTTTTTTAACTGAATTCATTCTTCACCCTCATTGCAGAGAAGGAGACAATATTTCTAATTTAGTCAAAACCATGAGATGAACTCAAGTGAGGGATTAAAACAAGAAATTGAAGCTACTCTTCCAGTATGTTGGAATGCACAGCTCTAGAATAAATCACAAATATATGCTTAAGAAGTACAGCATTCATTTAATATTTTACCATTAAATACAGAACATAACAAAATTATACGTACACTTTTTGAATGCCCCTTGAATTTCATTTAAGGACAGAGTTTCAATATACTATTTTAAATCAAGATAATTTCCCATGAATATCCTTAGGTTTAGAAAAAATCCAGCAAGATGAATATTAAATGTATGTGGGTAAAAGTGAGGAAAAGCTTCACATTTTCTTTCTCTGGTTCTGCACAGTAGAAATGAAAACCATCAAAAGGGTTAACGCTGATAGTACTCACCACAACAGCAAACTGCTCAGGTTCACATAAGTTGTTATAGTCACTCTTGAACTGAGACAAGGAATTTAATTGCTCTTGATCAGGAAGATGCTTTAATAAGTTCTAAAAATTGAAACCAAAATAAAATATCTTCACTCAATGAGCTTTCTAAATTTTATGAAAATTAATAAACTATGAAAAGGAAACCAGTGAAGAAGTTAATCTTTAGTTTTATTTCTCAGTAACCTCCTTTACACCAAGCCGTAAGCAACACTCTTTGCATCTTGGAAACAATTTTCTTTTTTTGTATCCCAGAATTATTATATATTCAAATCAAGCACTACTGAATGTTTATTTGATTAACTTACAAATGAGAAAGAACTCAAACTTACAGCAAAGGAACAGCTTTCTCACCTGGATAGATGTAATCCATTACATTTCAGCTTTAGGGAATTAAATGTCAGAAATTTCAGGCAAAGCCAAACATATTTTAACACTTCACTCAGAGGGATAAAAGAAATCACGACATTGCTAGTAAAAGGCAAGGAAAAGGATAGAAAAGAAATCAAGGAAATTTTAATGGCAGTACTTGTAAGATTTAACCAGTAGGATTATGTTTTAATAATAAAAACTGAAGGTATCACTAAAAGACAAAATAGCTTTTCTGACATGAAAAAAAAAATTTAAAAGACATGGCAGATATAGGATGATATACTTGCAGATAAAACATATAAAGAGGTCTCCTAGGAACTTAAGTGTCCATGGCTCAAAAAGCCCTTTAATGGTAGCATCTGCATTCTATAAATCATAGTTTCCTTTGGCTGCTCTGGCTCCTTTTTCTATGCACAGCCTTTCCAAGTCACACACTTAAATAAGAGACTACTTGAAAAAAGACTAGGGGGATACACGTAATTACACTTTCCTAATAGAACATAAATGTTTAAACAATCTCTTAGACAAAGTCTATATAGCCCTCCATATAAAATATACTCAACCATAATAATGATATAACTAGTTAATGTAGTGATATTAAAATTAAGGGGAAAAAAGAGTGGTTGGTTCTCACAATTCCAAATTATGTAATTTTGTATAAGCCCAACATCAAGCACCAATTATAATTAAGCCTATAACATGCTATATGTATATGTGTGTGTGTGTGTGTGTGTGTGTGTATATATATATATATATATATGCAGAAAATATATAGAGAGAGATCTTTTCTGCCTATATAGGCAGAAAAGATCTCCCAAGGTTTTATTAGTTAAAAATACTGTTAGAGAACACTATCCATCAAAAGAAGTAAGATCAAAGAAAAAGAACTCCCTGTATACCTTCGCATAAAAACTTGATTGACTGGCCAAAAACAAAAAGGTGGCAATGAACGATCATCTCTAGAAAAAGTATTCACAATTAATATTAGCAAAGTGAACAAAAACAATGCATATGATTTTTCCACTAAAGTAGAAATGTCTCTTAATGGAACTGCCTGAGAGCAAACACATAATTATTTATATTTTCTTTTAACCATGTGAGCAGTTGGATTGCCTATGTTATTTATTATATTGAATCTCCAAATTTATTCAGCATTGTTTTAGATGAATATCAAATCTCTGTAAATTGTTTAGTTAATATATAATTAGATTTTTAATATTTCTTCAGAAATTTGTTCATATTATTGTTTATGTGTTCAAATGTGAAAAACTATTAGGATGTGTATGAGTACAGGCTCAATCTACCCTTGCTTTCCCCTTACCAAATTTCCCATGCTCCCTATAAATCTCAAAGTTATTGTCCAACTAAATTCTACAAGTTGTCCTAATACACCCAGTTTTTGCCTCCTACCTCATGTTACTATTGTCAATATAGCTGCATGTAGCTAAATTTTTTATCCAATCCCCACCCTGTTTTACATTCATGCTTTATATGCCCTTGAAGTGCCCTTGCCTCCATATACATCACACAGAGTGCATACTCCCACTTGCTTTCTAGTTCTAAACCAATCTTGATTAAATTATGCTTATTTTATATTTTAATTATGTGTGTAAATGTCATCTCCCTTAGCAAAATACAAATTTTAAGGTGATGTCTACCTCTAATAGAGCCTAATACAATGCATGGTGATACAATAAAATACTTGTAAAAAGTCTGATGGGATTGAGTCTTTTATTTTCATTTATTTATTTTAGGTTTTAAAAAACTCATAAAACTGGTATTTACCAAGCATAGGTATGCACAATAATGACATCCATTCATCCATGATGCCCATGTCTACTCACAGAACCTATGAAAATATTAGGTTGAATTGCAAAGGGAAGTAAGCTGACAGACGGACCAAGGTGACTATCAGCTGAACTCAAATTAGGGTGAATATACTGGATTATCTGACATACTCATGTAATCACAGAAGTCCTCAAAGAGAAAAACTAAAATAAAGCAATAGCATGAGGGAGAAGCATCCATGAAATAAAGCAACAGAAAGCAACCTGGGTGGTTTGAAAGATGAAGAGGCCCTGTAGTTCAGGACAATTGGCAACCATAATCAGCTGGAAAGACAGGTATGGAGTTTTCCCCAGAGCTTAAATGAAAGAATAAAAATCTGTCAACACCTTGACTTCACCACAGGGAGGGCAACACCATATTCTATACAAGTGTACGATATTAAATTTGCACTACTTTAAGCTATTCAGTTTGTAGTGAATTGTTGTAGCAGCAATAGAAGACTAATACATTAAGAAAATATTATTGCTAATTATTAAGAATTAGCAAAGTTGAAACTCTTTGGACATAAATTTTAAAATGCAGATGACCTTTTTCTATCTCTAGACAACAAAAGCCACATGATCATCCAAAACATTCATGTAATCAAGTGAAGAGCTACTCTAAATATTTAACGAAATCATTATAAGAAATACAAACATGTATTAAGTAGAAAGATTTTCTTTAAGGAACTTGGCATCTGCTCCCAGCAAGAAGCCACATACACAATCAACAATAATACAGACAAAAATTCAGTTGGGAAAAAAAAAATGCTAGAGGGGGGAAAAAGATGCCTAAAAAAAGAGCTATTGAATTAGGTAGTTTATGAGTGTCTGAGAGACAGCATGAATCACAAATGACAGAATATAAACATCAAACTTAGAAGACAAAATAAGGAGAGAAAACTGAGAACAACTTCTAAAGATTCATTCATTGACAGGTTAAAACATCTAAAATAATCTTAATCATTTGTTGATATAATAAATTGTCCATGGTTCTTTGTTATTAAAAATCCATTTTTGCAAAACAAAAGAGCATGAAATGAAGATACTCTCTCAAATACAATTTGTGTTTTGATTCTCCAACTTCAAATCTATTGGTATATATACTTGATCTCTTAGTAGAATTCAGTAAGTAACTTTAGTACCACATTACCATGCATTTAAAAATACAGCAGGCAAGAATCATTTAAAAAGCGTTCCAGCTGGACACAGTAGTGCACACCTATAATCCCAGAGGCTCTGGAGGCTGAGGAAGGAGAATCAAGAGTTCAAAGCCAAGCTTCATCAACCTAGCAAGGACTTAAACAACTCAGTGAGACCCACTGTCTAAATAAAAGAGCAAATGGGCTAGGGATATAGCCCAGTGTTTAAGCTACCCTAGGTTCAAATCCCTGGTGCCAAAAACAAATAAATAAGTAAGTAAATAAATAAAAATAAAAAGTACTCCAGCTTTCTCAGTGAATTCAGAGCACCATGCCAACAAATCCATAACACCTATATGAGCACCAATGACTCTAAAGGAGTTCTTAGTGAATGAGACTAAGTAAAATCTCCCTCAAGCTCCTATACCAAACAATAACACAACTTCATAAACCTAAGAAAAACACAATCTACAAAGGCTGTAAAACAAATTTAAATTAACATATCACAAATGTTAATTGTAACACAAATACATATGTAAAATTAAATTTGCCTTTCAGAAACAGTCATTTAAAATAATTGAAATGTAATGATTTTGATAGCATTATATTTAGTCTGCATTTGAAAAAGATGCAGTTTTATCTTCTGGTAGTGCAGAAGTTATGCTAAAGCTAATTATGCAGTAATGATTTCCAGTTGAATGATTAGGGTTAAAAATTATGCTTCACTTACAGATTTCTATTTAATGAGAAGTTTGCAATGAAATACTGAAATTTAGGCTCTGTTTGTTTACCTGAATCACAGACTCTGCCAACTGTGTTTCATCCACTTCCAATATCATCGTTTTTATTTCCTCATATGGCACCCGAAGAGAGCTCAGAAAGATTGCTGAGAGAGTGAAAAAAGGTTCATAATGAATAAGAAAATGAAGAAATTTGAGATTAAATTCTATTTATAAGATCAAGTATAAATTCATAAAGAGAGAACTTATTCCTTTAGGATAGTTATCATGGGGGAGGTGGCTTTCATCAGTAGATTTTATGTTCTCTACACTTGTAGAACTAGGATTTAAACAACAATCCTGTATTATGATGCAGAAACCAAGGTCAGTTTTCAAATGCTTAGTTATTTGTCTACCATAGGAATGTGCCAAATTTCATGTGATTTGAAAGAACTAAAATATATTAGATACACTCTAAAGCAGCACACTGTTATGAAAAGAATGATAAAATCCCAGTATGTACATGTAATATTTGATTAAACATGTGTTATTGCCTTATCATATCTTCCAGTTCTACTAAATAGTTCAGAAAACAACATTTTTAAGAGTACTACACACTAACTCTTTCACAAAGAAAAACTTTTACTATTCAGCAGTATTGTAAATAATATGCTAGAGAAAGAGCATTTACATGTAATTAAATCTTAAAATATACATTTTATAAAATAAATTTTCATGATAATTTATCCAAATAAATTTTGAGATAATATATTACAGAGAATTTCAAATATTACTTAAATTTTTCTTGATACTTAAATAATTAGTCTTATAATGATATTGTCAAGGACTTTTGAGTAATATAAAGATATTTCACAGAATTAAATATGATGCTTTTCCTATTCCCCCTTTATTCTACTATTCCATGTTCAAAGATGTAATTTTTTGACCATATTCAGCACTGACTACCATCATCCTTTTAATTTTTTTTTAACTTAGTAAAGTATGTCATCTCGTCTATGGATAATGTTATTTGCATCTTTCTTGGATTATTTTTTGTTGAGGAGAGCATGTATCAATTACAGATAAACAACAAGGGCAACTTTTTTGTTCTTATCAACAACTTCAATCACACATTTCTGAAAGCAAGGAATCAAAATATGTGATCACTGTGCTAGGAATTATGGATGCCTGTTACCCTCAATATCCCATGAGTGAAATGAAATAGAGGATCTAAAAGAAACTAACAGATATTCATATGGGAATAACTCTAGTATTGTTACCGAAAATTCTCACACACACACACACACACACACACACACACACACACAAATATATATATTTGATCTAAAAGGGATAATAAATGAATGACAGGTTATAAAATAATCCTTACATCATTTACAAAGAAAGATGTAGGTAAAAATCTTCATCTGTGATTAGAGAAGAACATGTTGGGTATAAAAAGCAATGGAAAACATGAAAATTTCTGTTTGATGACATTTACCAAAAATATTAAAAAAAAAACATAAAAATCTATCTACCTTAGAATTCACAGAGTATCATTCTTTCTTCAAATATAGTCATCTAAAATAATATCAATTAACATGAGGTTGAAATATGAAATAGGGCAAAATTCATGAAAATCAAAACAGTAAGAAATAAAAGTGATGAATAAATAAATGTAATGTGTTAAGCCTCAGAAGCCAGCAAATTTAGAAGATGAATTGTTAAGATGGGTCTGGTTTATAAACTTAGATTAATGTGAAGCATTTACACTACTGATGCCTTCTGAAAAACAACAAATTCTATCAAGATATACTATCTATGGATACAATTAAAAATATAGAAAAGAGTAGGTATGGTGGAACACACCTGTAATTTCAGTGGCTCAGGAAGCGGGGGCAGGAGAATCATAAGATGTTTAAGGTAAATAATATTTCAGCCTCCGCAACTTAGTGAGGCCCTAGGCAACTCATTAAAACCCTGTCTTCAAATAAAAGTATTTAAAAAGGGCTGGGGATGTGGTTCACTGGTTAAGTGCCCCTGGGTTCAATACCTGGTACCCAAACACAACAACAACAACAAAAAAAAATACAAAAGGCTGAAAGGCTAAAGGGAAAAATCAAAATTACTCTGGGACATAATATAGGAATTAGGAAAGAAAGGTATTATAGTTTTATATCTCAGGTAGTATGACAAAGTATAATACATTCCAGAAATATCTAAAAAGCATGTTTTTAATCTCAAAAGCATTTTCAAGATATCCTGAAAGCCAGGAAAAGTAATAATCATAGGAGAAAACAATTATTTACAGAAATGAAACAATAGCTGGAAATGTTGGGATGGGGTAGTATCAAAAAGACTCACTGAAAATAAAACAAATTGAGAAAGAAAACAGTAGAACTTTTAGAAATAAAAAATACATGTGTTAAAATTGAAAACTCAACATATACACGGATTAGGCATCTGATGAAATGAAAATTGGTAACATCAATTGGGTACCCATAAGCACAGTCATCTAAAATGACTTAAAAATAATAGGTTGAGAGACACAGAGGTAGGGATACCTTTAAAAGCCCAATAGACGGTCCAAACACTCAGGGTACTAGAAAAGAAGCATACCTAAGGACATCATGTTCAACTAAGTAAACCAGACCCAAACAAACAAACAAAAAAGGATGAGTATCGTTATGTTCCCTC